ACTGAATTGAAAAAAATTGCTTACCAACACACAAACCATGATTCACAATTGCTAAATTGGGCTAAAATAGAAGGCCCCGGCTGAAGATTCGGCTCTCCCCGATGGGAGTCGACTCTTCTCGTTCGCTACAAAGAGTCGGCTCATCGAACGACACATCACTAATTCCAGCAGCTCGACTCGACGGACGCAGGAAAGAATCACCTATTAAGGTGGATGGAGTTGGATTTTGTCGGAGGGCCGAGTCCTCCCTATAGCTCTCACACTGTGGCAAGAGGAAAAGGAAGAAACACACCGGAAGCAAAACTCTTGAGGGTCAACCGTCTTCTTCAGCTCGCGCTCTCGTGTGAGTTTCCTCATCAAACTGCTTACTGCCATCTAGTGTGTACAAATAACAAAATACTTATTTTTTTATGTTTAAGCGTTTTCATCCTCGATGTCTTTAACAAAGAGATTGAATTGCAGTAATATGTTGATTGTAGCCAAGTTTTATATAAATAAATGTAGATTTGTTAAAGTTTCTCCTTGTTTTGAGCCATTTAAAAATGATTTTAGAATTATACTTCCATATATATATATATATATATACGTCCATAAAACAATTAAAAACGAAGAGTGCCTTAAAACTCTACACTTCTGGCAACATACTTGGAATGTAATTGAATTTGTCTTATAATTTGCTTTACATGTTTTGGTATTATTTGAACTTTTAATATACATATCTTCCTGAGAACCAGGGAAAAAAAGTTTTTTGAATTTGATTGTTTTTATGTCATTACATTGGTTGGAGCACAGAAACAAATGGAGAAATTTTCATTTATTTTTTTTCATATTTTATTCTAAGTCCCTTGTAGAGAAATAGGTAGAGGACACCAGTCATTCAACAAAATAAAATAAAAATAAATAAATAGACATGAAAAGGCATAAACAATGTTTTATTTTTTCATTCACCAATAAGTTTTTAGGTTTCAGGCTATTTTCATCCAAACTTTGTACAAAGATGATTCTCGACTATGTTATGGAAGATATAACAGAATGATTTGATTTACTACTCTACTTTATGGAATATGTGCGTAAAATATCCATAAATTGGTATTCCCATTCTATACAATGTATCTATACATTGCATATTAATGTGTTCTTGTGGGCAAACTATAATGAAAAAAGACGTGTTATAATGGGAGCAATAACGTGGCAACATTTTCATAAGAATATCTCATATTTCATAGGAATATTGATCTATAATTTCTTTCGGACTTTTTGAGTTTCCCCAAAATGCCTGATTAACATGCTGTTTTCCTGGTGTCCTCTACAGAAGGCTATGAAAATTATGCCCTGTTTAGTAACAAAAAGTCATATTACGATTTGAAACCCCATAACATCTTTTTCTGAGATATTTATTTACGACAAACTATTTGAAAATTAGCCTGATTGAAATGATAATTACAAAGAGTGTTGGGCAGTAACTAGTAACTTAGTTACTGTAATAATATTACTTTTTGCAGTAACTAGTGTAACTAATTACTAATAAGATTTCAGTAATAATATTACAGTTACCATCCATAAAACAGCTTAGTTACTTCATTACTTTTGATGCCTCAACCCCGCTGATTTAAAATCCAACAATCAAATATTTCTTAGATTTATTTTCATAATTTTCACGACTCGCACATGCATGTGATGTCCCCAGTGCAGCAGGCAAGCTTGGAATATGGAAAAGCTTACATTCAGCAGATAGAAATATTGCATTTTATTGATTTTGTCAGGAAAAAAGATCTGAACACTGTTGTGTAAGTTGTGGCTTTACTTTACTCTGGCATTACATCCCACCCACATCCCTCTGATCAGCATATGGTACATTATATTACTATACTTAAAAATCTTTTTGGAAAATTTAACAGTTTCTTACAAACTTATGTGATTTGATAAAATACATTATGAAATATAATCGTATATGCATGGGTAACGGAGAAATTACAATTAGCTTCAAGCTACACATGACAATTAATGAGATTAATACAACACTTCTACTTGAATGTCACTATCAATCACTATTGAGTGTTTGTAATAACTTCTGACTGCAATCCAATGTGGATTTTGGTCAAATGATGAGGCAGAAATATGTTGTTAGTAACATTCTTGAAGAATTTTATGTGGTAGATACACAGTTACAACTTCTGTGGGGCCTGAAGAAAAAGTAATGTAACTAGTAGTGTAACTAATTACTGTTGCCAGAAAGTAATAAGTAAAGTAACAATATTACTTTTGAAAGGAGTAACTAGTAATGAGTAATATATTACATTCTTTGAGTAACTAGCACAACACTGATTACAAAACATGATCATATTTCCTGAAGAGTGCTACATTTGATCATTCTGTTAATATCAGTCATATTTAAAGACCAAGGAGTGTTTATGATCAAACCTCCATTTGATACCTCTAAAAAGAGCAGAATGTGCTCTGTACAGGGCATCCTGTGGCATGTATGGTCTCAGAGAAATTCACTAAAATATAATGTCCTCTACAGAGGACAAAAGTCTATGCCTGGGTCCCATAAAAATGATTTATTGATTCTATACACTCTTAGAAAAAAGGGTTATTTGGGGTTATATAGGTTCTTTACTCAACTCCAAAGAACCCTTTATGCCAAAAAGGTTCTATATAAGGAGAAAGAACCCTTTTTGGCAAAAAAGGGTTCTTTGGGCTAAACCATGCTTTATGTATGGTTAGGCTATTTAAAATTATTATAGTACATTGTATTTGTGTTTTTATTTCAATTTTACTTGGACACACCTTTATTCCGAAGAAAATAAACTTAAAATTTACGTCTGCACTTTCAAGTTTAATAGAAAATAATTGCCACATGATCCTGTACACTGAATAAAATGCCTAACATCTAAATGAACTGGTTTTACTTAAGTCTACTATCACTGAATCAAACTATTAATTTATACCAATAATAATAATACCATTCTATAAAGTACTGGTTAAATTAGTGTTCATCAAGATTTTTTAGCTAACATATTTACATTTAGACATTTAGCAGATGCTTTTATCCAAAGCGACTTACAAATGAGGACAATGGAAGCAATCAAAATCAACAAAAGAGCAATGATCCGCAGGTGCTATAACAAGTCTCAGTTAGCTTAACGCAGTACACATAGCAAGGTTTTTTTAAATCATATAATAAACAAAAAGAAAAGAGAGAGTAGAAAAAGAATAGAGCAAGCTAGTGTTAGAGGCCTTTTTTTCTTTTGTTAATTGTATAATAAATAAAAAGAAAACAAATAGATAGAATATAAAAAGATCAGAGAAGCAAGTGTTATGCTGCGTCTCAATGTGCCTACTTATACTACGCCCTTAAAGTATGTACTCTTTTGGTGAAGAAAAAGTAGACACTTTTGAGTGTGTAGTAGAAGAGTAGGCAAGCTTTGGGACATACTATCAGGACACACAACTGCGTCTTTAACAGACGCTCTGTCGCATAGATACACGCACCCTGTCACTGTAAACTGGCCTGTCCATCATCTTGTCACAGTTAACATCCTCCACATTGATTTCATTTAACTTCCTACCGTACTGGAGAGAAAAGAAGTTGCACATTGATCTGCCAGTCGGGGGTCTTTCATACTGAGAACAGCTCATATTTGATGCATTTAAAAGTTAACGACCAAACGGATGTTTATAAAAGTTTTCATTGCTGTTACAGATTAAATATAACACAGATAACATTAAATACATATATTTTTTTTTACCAATTTAAATGTTGAATATATTAGTAACTCGAAGCCCTTTTTCTAAGCCTCTCTACCTAACCGCCGGTCGCGCACGTCCGCCATGTTTGTAGTTTTTGTAATATTGCCCGCAATGGATTGTGGGCAATATTAGCCATTAGCGGGTGCCGGGATCCACACTTCAAAAATCGACCTGAAATAGTAGACCATGCGGGGACTTTTGGCATCCTCTTTTCAACATACTATACTTTGGGACACACTTATGCTAATCTCACATACTATTTAGGATGGATATTATGAACATTAAAACGCAGAGTTAGTTTTTTTTTTTTAAAGATAGACCTATTATAAAATATTTATTTTTATTTATAATATGATATGATATGGTGTAATATTTAGGCTAGATGTTTCTCTTGTTTACAGTAACTAAAGATCAGATCATCATACTGTACAAACAGCACTAGTTTCACGCGCGCTCTGGATCCGATGACGTAAAGGACTAATTCTCGAACATTCCAGCCAGTGATGGGAAGCTCGGCTCTTTTCAAAGATTCGGCTCTTTTGGCTCGGCTCCCTTTTTAGAAGAGCCGGCTCTTACGGCTCCCAAATGGCTCTTTATTTAGTATCACTCAGAGGCTTCTATTTTCGCCCAATTTAGCAGTTGTGAATGGTTTGGTTTGTTTGTTGGTAAGCAATTTTTTTTATTCAGTGTTTTCATAAAAGCCTTATTTTTATGCATTTTTTTTCGTTACAGAAAAAAAATACACAGATACTATTATTTAACATTTTAATACAACTTTAATTGAACACAGAACCACAGCAAACAAATAAATAAAGGCAAACGTCTTAACATTAAGACACTTTAGTGCAGTTTGGCATTCAGAAATATCAGATGCCTCAGCTTCTCTCTGTGATTGTTTGGCCTGTTTTTGAGAAGACTTCGATGTTGCAACAATGCAGTGTCTGGCCTGTACCACTACACTCGCTATCTTCGGAGCGTGTGTCCCCCTTCCTTCTTTCACATAATGGTATGATCCGAGTCTGTCCGCCCATGTGATTAGCCGCAAGTGTATTTTCTTTTCTTTTTTTTGTAACGAAAAAATGCATAAAAATAATGCTTTTATGAAAACACTGAATTGAAAAAAATTGCTTACCAACACACAAACCATGATTCACAATTGCTAAATTGGGCTAAAATAGAAGGCCCCGGCTGAAGATTCGGCTCTCCCCGATGGGAGTCGACTCTTCTCGTTCGCTACAAAGAGTCGGCTCATCGAACGACACATCACTAATTCCAGCAGCTCGACTCGACGGACGCCATTTTGAGCCACACAAACAACACCCAAGAAGACGGAGGAAATAAATTCGTCTATTATCGAGTACTACTATTATTTAGAGGACTTTCTCAAGCCAGGTAAAGCAATGTTTTAATCTTTCGCTGATTATTTCACTCACACAATGTACTAATTTCTTAAGAACCGATTTGTATTTTACCACCTAAAAGCGGTAACGACGTCGCTAACTGTGTGTTTTATTAATCGTAAGCGTGCTATAAGTTTCACAAAATGTATTTTATTGTCTAAACGGGTTTCAGTTATTGTTATTATTTTCTAACCAATTTTAGACTTCCCAAAAGAAAAATAATTAGCATCGGGCATTACGGGCAAATACTTCGTTGACACGAGGCGGTTAGAACAAAGAGGCCACTGTATTTGTGGATCCTGCCCTATAACTTATATTATACAGTTTACGTGGATCGAGTATTTGTACTTGATATAAAGGTTATTTATTTGTATGGTGCTTGTTTTATCAGATGAGACAGAGAAGATTGCGCTCTTCCTGGCTGAGAGAGGTGAGTCTGGAGGAGAGAATGGAGAACAGAAAGAGACACAGACGAGACTCGCACAGCAGCGAGAGAGAAAACAAATACAGAAAACAACACCACAAGAACAGCGACTGGTGAGAATCAGTCTGGATTGCTTTGTATTTATTCTGAGTCCTTTTGAATCAACACATTGTACGAGTTAATTTTATACCCGTATTAGTACGGCTGTAAGTTACTTGGCCAGCGCCCATTGAGCCTTGTGTACATCTTCTGGCAGTGTGTTGTGCAATACTTGTTTGACTAGTGTCTCTTTATTGGAAGCTTCCTGGAAAACATTTGATGACCTGACCTCAATGTGTCAATCTCCTCCATTTAGACATTAAGTCATCTGTCAGTGCCTCGTTTTTACAAATAGGTTAATTACTTGGATCCCAATCATTTTATTTGCCATTACAGAGAACATTTGGAATTTGCCTGGATTGTCAACAAATCAGGGCCTCATTTATATGGATGTTTTCCATCAAAAGTTTCCACCACAGAAAAGATACTCTTTATTTTTGGAATTGTATTCATATGTGCTAAAATGTTGTTGGGCATCGAAAAGCTATTCCATTTTCGGAAATCAGATCAGATGCGTAAGGTCAGGAATCAAATTACTTGGTATAAAATTACATTTAAATTCAGCTTCTCGATTCCTGTATGTGCATTTATTGTGATTTCAAAAGATTCAATTGCAAGAAGACGAAATAGAACTCACTCGCTTTTTTCTGTGCTACACACACAAAAGCCGCATCTTATATACACGAACAATGGACTGTGCTCTCTTTCTCGCATTCTTACACATTCGAATGGACAAATACACACAGAATTATATCAAAATATTCCATAAATACAATCGGTTGTCTTAAATGAACGCAAAGAGCTGAGAAAGAAAACAAGGGTGTATTGGATCCGTGCATTGACAGCAGCTGCTGCCGCCAGTTATTAATGTTAATCAAAGAACAAAAGAAAAGAAAATACCTCACTGATCTTGATTGAATCACTTTTGTAACCTCGGTTTATATTTTATTTGCCTGTTGTTCGGCGCTGACCACTGTAATGGGAACGTGCATCTGTGTAGGCGCTCATTTTGGAGATGCGTTCCAATATAATTTATCCTTATTTATGGTATAGGCCTATTCTATTTTGTTCTGCAGTTTAATAAGTTAAACAGAAAAAAGACAAATAGTAGCACTGCATGTTTCTGAATATTTATTTAAACAAACTGTATAATGTTGAAAAACCACAAACATGACAGTTATAATTAAAATATGCCAATTCCTTCACAGCCTATTTATACAACGCGCACAGTGCCCTATTTTTACAGATTTTTAAAACGGTGTATACAGCAAAATTGTTTAATTAAGCTGAGATAAAGCACTATAAATTCTTAATTCATTTGCAACAAAACTATAAAGTTTTGTTGCAAACGGATGAAGACATTAGTAGGCTTCTCAGCTCACCCCTTTAACATGCACACGTTCGGCGTTTCGGCGGCCCAACACTGAATAATATGTTGTGGCCATTGTATTTTGATTTATAAAATAAAAATTTAAAATACAAAAATGAAATTTAAATTACCCTGCTTCTAAATAAAGCGGTTATTTTTATTTTGTTAAAAATGGCCAAAAGAGACCTCTGAACTAGGCTACTAGAAAGGAAAAAAAACCTTAACGTTTTTGCTCAGAATTCGTTTTTAATCCCTGCATGATTTGTCATGCATGATAAATGTCAAATAGCCTACGTTATAGCTTGACTACAAGTTTAAAAACAACGCTACAATTGTTATAATCAAGGAAATTAAACTTACCATCATGAAATGTGTCTACACACACGAGCGATAATGCCAAAAAGAAAGAGAAACATCGGAAAATAGGCATATTTTATTCAAGACATTTCTATATGACATCAACATGCATTTATCATTCTTACAATCACCGCCAGAATGTCCAACTTCACCATGATGAACTTCAAATTGGGTTCGATTATTTTTCCTCAACAGTTCTCCTCACAAAACGAAATTAATTTCAAGCACAAATTTGATAAGAACAGAGTGGAAATTATTAGC